TTGTAGATGAAAGTGAAGAATGATCATCACAGTAAATTTTCCAATTTAAGCAATTGGAAAGAAGAAGCCTGAAAAAAGTCAAGTGGGTGGGGACTGGAAAAGAGTGAGTTGCCATGGGAACAGAAGTTTTTTTGAAGCCGTAAGTGTGTTTCCTGTAGAACTATTAGCCTACCAAGTTTCAATGGTCTGCGCTGCAAATTGACCAAGATAGCCGTATAGCTCTACTTGATATAAAATTGGGTTAGGTGCATGAAGTCATCAGTCACCTCATTTGCATATTTTACACATTTTCCAAACTTAAATATCTCCGTATCTAATGCAGATATTTGCAAATGGTTAATGGCCTTTTTATTCTTTCATGGAATTCTATGAGATACATCTAAAAAATCAAGGGGGGAAAATTTGATCATAGTACCACTTTAAAGCCACTACCGTAATCAAAATCAGGCGTGAAGTTGGCAACAAAAAGTTAAGTACCTAGTATTTGAACTTCTTAGTTAGCAGATAAATTAAGGCCACAAAGAAAAGTCTGAAGATGTGCTATAACACAGTGACTTCAAATTTCCTCCACGATTAACCAAGAGAACTTATTTTGCACCTTGTTTTAATACAATGGTATAACAACCAAAGACTTACAACGTCAAAATGTACAAAACTGGCATCAATCTCTGTCAGAAGTTCACTGGTGTTATCCTATAGGGGAGAGAACAATAAAAATAATTGAGTGAATATTGAATACATGTATTTGTGTGAGCATTTTCCTACATTTCCCATTTTCCTATTTTTTCTCTGGTAAACAGACAAGGTAAGTTATGTCTGCCTTTGAGCATGTACGTGTAGCAGGTCATCAGGCCCACCCTTATCTCCAGTTTTAGTAGAATGAAGTGACTGGGAGTATTTCTACTGCACCTGGACTGGATGCTAGTCCATCGCAGGATTACATTGCCCCAATGCCCCAATGCCCCAATCCCGCACTAAATTATTTTGCTGGTACCTCATTTATACACCTGAGTAGGGCAATTAAAATTTAGTAGAGGGTTGGCTATCTTGGTTAACAGCAGCAAAAGAGAGATCTTAGCCAGAGCTTGAACCAAGACCTCTTGCTACAGAATCCAGCACAATAACAATGAGGCAACCATGTATTCCACCAGTGCCTATGGCACTAACTCTAGACTGCTGGCAATCTGTTTTTCTCTTGAAATTCAGCAGGGATAATGAGACGTTTTCGCCTAAAGGGGATTGGAACAAGACATGGGCATGGCATACATGCCCGTTGCTGGGCTGACAGAGTGTTTGAAAATATAAAGAGACTGCTGCTGGGTTTTTCTTGTCTCGCCCCAACCCTCACATTTCCAAATGCTCTTTTGCGTGCGTGATTGGTAAACAACTGTCTACGCAGGGCTTTTTACTGCGACCTAACAGAAGCCCTGTCTAAGTGACCCTAGGAGAAAAGACATTCAAGCTCAGTGCTAGCAGTCAGCACTTACTCTGAATTCCATCACATCCACAAATGTATAATAGTAGTTAGAGAGCCCCTTGATAACTTCATTCTGGATGCTGTGAACTGGTTGAACCTGGACACTCTAAAGGATTTATATATGAACCAAAAAAAAATAAAAAAAATTAAACACTACAGGAAAATGAATAAATAAATATATCATCATGTTGAAGTATTCTAAATATGTCAATGTCTTATGGACCGAAAGTTCTCTAGGGTACTACAGTTGAAGTGTGAAAGCAATTTGATGTGTGTAAATTTCGCTAGAATGTTACTTTTGAAACAATAACAATGTTCAACTTTCTTTGTACTCATACATGTAATTTTTTACCTCTGTGTCAAAACAAGTCTTCACCATGAATTCATATGAAAATCTGTTCCGCCCACATAAAAAATAACCTGGTTAACTAAAGGTTTGGTCAGCCCCCCAAAAACAGGCTTATCACTTCTGTCACTATTCTCTGCAAATTTTCCAGCTGGAATGAACTATTCCATATGATAACTTTCAACAGAGTTCTCTCGACGTTTTTTAAAGTTTTCCATTGGAAATATGCTTTGGCTAAGTTACCTTTGTGTCTGTAACTGGAAATTTCTTCACTATAGCCTTAATGGCAGGATCCAGGGCTTTATCTGTTAAAAATCCTGGTCTGGACTTGGAGTCGGAACATGCCTGTAAACAAAGAAATGGCATCAGAAATATTTATACTAAAGAGGTTGTGTCCTTGGTGATTTATCATGTTTTTTTTTTAAATTATTAGTACAGCCAGGATCTTGCTGTAAATTTACTGTATTATCTTGCAATTGCAGAAAAAACAGCATTAGAGGTCAAAACACAGAAACATTGAGTTGAAAGAGAAAATAACGACTTAATGGATTCTAAACAGTAATCCACTTCAACTGTATCCTTGTAATCCTGTGTCTTTTCCCAGAAATCCTTGTTCTATTTTGCCCCGTAGAATCTTCTTACCCAATTTAACTGTACTGAAAATTTAGCGGCATTTGCAATATAATATGGAAAACATAAGTAAATTTTCAATTACTGTATCACCTGGGACACTGCCCCTTTTTAGCTCGTGTTTTGTATTTCGCAAAGTTCTAAATACTTTTCTAATAGTACACGAACAGTCTACAATGCAAATTTCCATGGGTGTCCAGGAGGTGTCCACCTATCGGAAGTTGAGTGACAGCTGGGGTGGGGGGGAGATAAAATTGAAGCAGTTTCACCTGTAAATATACATAATCTAGTGTCCTAACAATTGGCAGTGTACAATGGTCAGAATATGAAAATAGGGGTCTTAATTATACTGCATCATGTCACACTTCTATGAGTTAATGTTTACGACAGCTTATGAGAGGTACATGGAAGGAGGCTCTCTCATAACAAGAGTTTCAAAACCAAATTCCCAATCTGAACAATACTGAAAACACTCTATGAAATGTGGCAAGAAGGTAAGGAAATCACAACATTAAACTTGGAGCTTACAGTGCAACATAAGTTAAGGACATTCGCGTGCAAAATTTTTCAACATTGATTTTTTTCTGAGACTTTTACCACTGTGAGATGATGAGTTAGTTATGTCAGAAATGTGCAAAAATGGGGGACACCAACTTCTGTTTCTGGAGAGAAAAATAGGGTTCACCGAACGTCCAAGATCATTAAATCCAGGCAAAGCTATAGCAATGGCCATCTGCCATATCATTGGTCATTTTATTACTTAGTGCACGCGCTCATGCATGACGTGGTGTGTGAATTTGTTTGTGCAGTAAAGATGCGCAGAAACAATTGGCTTGAAAGTCCTGATGTTAAATTCAGCTTACATTACTTCTTAATTAAAACAATTTTTTAATGTCTAATTTCTCGTGCGCTGATTCGCTCATTTTTATCATCAATAAGAATACAGACAGATAAACCATTAATTTATGCAAGCTTTCAAGTTCAACTTTCAGCTGTCAAACTCTAAATTTTTAACCAATGAGATTTTAAGGACTTTTGTAAAATGCCAATCAAAAAGCAAGAAAAGCTATTGACAATGTTCGCGTCAATTTGAATAAAATTCACTTATCGTTGTTTACGGCATCTTTTCCCTTTTTTGTGTGTCTGTCCTCTTATTGATGATAAATTTTGTCATAACATTGTCAAAGCTTACTGCAGAACCACCAGCCTGCGGCTCGTGGTTCCACAGCCACTTTGACAATGTTATGACGCAATTTATCATTAACAGGAGGACAGACGCATTAAAAACTGACGTCAATTTGTTAAATCTAAGCTAGATAACATCTGTTGCAGCTTGCTTGCACTTTCCTATTGTAGCCTGACATAGGGGGAATCCTCTCTTAGTCAGTTTGGTGGTTTAAGGCAGCCTTTAATCTGAGTCCTCAAGTTACGTCAACCTGAGAATTAAATAACTGTAGCTTACTCAGTCACTTACTTTTTTGATGTTGTAAATTCGAGTTAGCATTCCAATCCCTCGATCGTTCAAGATCGTGAGTTTCTCGGCCAGTCTCTGCTCCGTTACAGATACACCCCGGTCCATATTTCACTTTGTTGCCAATCTTACCTTCTTTCACCACTATTCGAAGTACTCTTGCTCGGAATTAACCATTGACAATCTGTTTTCAGAGCGCGTTTTTTAACGAAACTACAGGAATGTTTATGACAGGGAGGGAGGAGGAAGGAAACAGACCAACATTTGAGCCCGCTACACTCATGCGGCTGTTCAGCTCGCTCAAGCAAGTCAAGTATGTCCTTTATGTTATTGTCACGAACAGTCTAATCTTGCCCATAGGACGTTTAGTCAAGATCGAAAAAAAGAGAGGATGTCGAATAGGAACACTATTTTTGAAACAGGGATTCTTTTACTTTGAATATTTTTAAAGATTGGGTTGACTGCTTAGTGAACATAGAATCGCGACTAGACAATCATGATAAACCACGATAAACGTGTGTTTAAATCAGTCAGTTCTATCGCGGCGTATCAGTCGTCAAAAGGGCCGGGTGAAAGGTAGTAATGAGGTACTCCGGTTTTTCTCCCTCCACAAAAACCAACATCTCCAAATTCCAATTTGACCAGGATAGAGGACCCTTAAGAAAACTAGGTAAGGCTGACGTGGCTTCCTCTCCAAATATTGTGGTTTATCTTAACTCTATGCCAACAAAGAAACTCCTTTCTATTATTGAAGTTTTAATTAAGTTCAAGGACTTGAAGTAAGAGATCATTTTCCCTTGTCGCCACTTATAAGCCCTGGGCTTGTACAACTTCACAAGGGTTTTCAGATGGGTGTATAAACGGAGAGACTTATATCTGAGGGGGTTTTTAACCGGAATAAACAAAACCGTTTCGAAATGAGCTATAGCTGCGTTGATCGAAATAGGTTTTTCAGTTATTGGTTTTTAATAAAGCTTCAAAACTTCATAATAAAATGAACTCAAACAAGGAAAGCTACAGGAGGGCTTATATCCGGGGGACTTAAAACCGGATGCAATTTTTTTGTTGTTTTTAGATATATGGGCCTAGAACCGGGGAGAGGGGCTTTTAACAACAGGAGGCCGAAATAATAGATTTGGCCATTGAAATTTCGCGTTCCACCTGCCGTAAATTTATCGAATGAGCAAACATGCTGAGCCTTCGGGATTGGAGAACTTGCCGACATGTGGTATTATTAATTTCCCAATTTGCATTCGTATTAAAGAAATAAATCAGTGACGGGTTTCCTAGGTAAACTGTAGACCTTCAAGGACCGATTTTGTTCAATATATAAATATATATATATTTTTACGCCAAATTCAAGATTTCTACTTGATCTGAATTTGTCTAAAAGACTTTTTTCAAAAACTTAAAGGGCGGACAAATTGTGCACCAAAAAGTGACTCTTAAAAACAAGTCAACGATCGGCCAAATGTGTTCAGTTAACCACTTGTATTATTTTCGCGGCAACATATCCGCAGACTCGTATTTCGCTTCTTTTGTTTATCCCTTGCTTCTTTCAATTTCTCACGTGCGCACAGATGATCTTCGCTTTTGTTGATTGTTTTAGTCTCTTAGGCGATAGACTAAGCGATTTTGCACGGTTCTCGCGTTCCCAAATTCGAACGCAATCGAAAATCGCAAGCAAATGATTCGTCACTGCCTTCTTCTGGCACACGAATTTAATCGCTGATATCTGACATGGTAGTCTCTTCAGACGCTCTTTTCCTCTGCTTCCAAGAAGGTTTTTCCATATCCTGTCACTAATTTCTTTTTTTTTTTTTTAATTCAAATACAAATTGGAAAACTAATTATATTTGCTTTTAATATAAGTGTTTAGAAAAAAAGATCTCCCAAAAATACGCGCGCTGATTGGCTAAATATCGTGTTTCCATGATTCGATTGAGACACACCACTAGCACAAGCTATTGACATGATGATGGCGCGAGCAAAGAGAATTTATATTTTGATATTTTGATGATCAAAGTAGACAAGCTTGCTTTCTTGTTTTCGTCGCGGTGTTTTCTAAACGAAATAGAAAACAGGTACTCCGTGTTTCTTTAGAGTTATGGAAACACTTGTGAAAGTTTGGAAGAACTCGAAAAAGTAGAGGAAACACTCGCCTGTCAGCTCGTGTTACCACAGCATTTCTCGTTCTCCCAAACTTCCACTCGAGAGAAACCAGGAACATGATCTCTATTTCTTAATTGCAACAACGGATTGAAATTCATTTCCGATTAATTGCGACTGACACGTACATCAGGTCATAAAAGAGTGTTCTGCCAAAGAGCTAGTAACGACAATACTTGAAAGTTAAGGAGTAGACCATGGCATTGAGAAACAACACCACAATCCCAGAAGCTGCCAACGAAACTGCACTGGGACAACCGAACTTGCCATGCGGTCGCCAGGTTCTTCACTCGACTGCAGAGAGAATGTCCTTCATTTTCCTGTATTGTGTTAATTTAATGGGCAGTTTCTTCGGAAACATCTTCATAGTCATCAT